ATTATTTGAACACTCTAGTTATAAAAGTAGGATACTCACTTTCCCTTTGCATTTCACACAGTATTAAGATTTCTTTTCTTCAGTCTTTCAGTATGTCTCCAAAACAACATAGGGTGGATGGGAGAAATACGTATGTGAATATGGGAGATACATAGAGTTGCTAGGAAACAACATGAAAGAATGATGAAAAACACAGTGTTGGAATCTAATGTTAACTTTATACAGGTATTTTAAGGATGATATATTCAGATTTTTTGTATTTTGAAACATTTTCTTTGTTATAATTACATTTGATTATACACTTGGTTTGGACTTCTAAAACTTGAGCTTCATTAGCTTGTACATGCTGCAGATAGCTTCTATCAATTTTTCAAGTTTCTCTTTTGAAGAACATTTGAATTCCTGTAATTTGTTCCATAATTGTATTTCTGTTATATTTTCTAATACATTTAACATTTAGAAATGGATTATTTATTAGTTATATGAAAGTTACTGTCTTACCTGTGGAAGGAATACATCTAGCTTTTTATCAAACAGTTTATTTTTTAAAGAGCATGTTACATACTGTGGGCCATAAAAGCTAATGTATAATATATTCACAATTCTTTCAAGGCTTATTTTGATTTCACATCTATTGGTGCCTTGAGGTGGTCATGTAATATAAATCTAATAGTGTCAGAATTTCTCAAGGAGAAAACATCTGTGAAGCAAAGGAAATTTTAAGAGGCAGCGTAGTATGATTCACACCACAGACTCTGGAGCCAAATTGTTTGGGTGCACATTTTGGCTCCGTAGCATACTTTTTGTGTGACTTTAAGCTAATACTTAACCTCTTTGTGTTTTAGTCTTATCATTTGTAAAATGGAGGTAATGATACAACTGCTTTGTGGGATCGTTGTGACAGTTAAATGAGTTATGATATGTAAAGTGCTTAGAACGGCTTCTGGCACATGGTAAACAGTATGCTATTGCTATTATTGTCAGTGGAAGAATACATTCAGTTTATCTCTCTCAGACTTCATATGAAACCTGTGAATTGGTAATATTAAAGGAAGTATTTGTTATAAGGAATTATGCTGCTTTTTGCTAAAGAATGCAGGTTATGGACTGGATATGGAAGGTGTGGTACTTGATAAGGAGATTGGGATTACACAGAAATGTTACCCACAAACACCCGTGAGAGGACCTATTGGTAGAAGCCTTAGCTTCTTCTGGTCCATTCCCCAGTTCATTTCTGTTTTCTCTTTCTGAATTGCTTTACCTATTTGTCCTTCAAGGCCCAACCTACATGTCACTTTTTTAAAGTGTTTCACTTTATTCACCTACCTCTCTTACTCCAGTAAAGAATAATCAACTCCTCTTTGTGGCCATAGAATTTTGTTTATGCCTTAACATAGCACTTCACATAGTACCCTCTAATCATACTTCAACATGCCTTAACATAGTACCCTCTAATCATACCTCCTTTCACAAGCCCTCTAATCATACCTCCTTTCACAAGATGTTAGCTTGTTCTAGGTTTTATTTCATTCCGTGTGTCTTGTTTTCATTTCTAATGTCCATTGTTGCAAGAAAGGAAATGTCAGGGACTGATGCATCTCCATCTACCAATTGAGCATTCGTGATTCATTAGTCCTGTAAATGTGATCTACTTGTAATTCTGCTGCCAAAATAACATATAGAATAATGAGGCTATATTTGAGAAATGAACATTGAAACTAGTTTGTGGTGATTTACTGACTAAAATATTTAGATCATTTAGAAATGAAAAATATATAAATGTTTAATATAGTTTGAGAATTTTATTCTATCTTTAACATTAATTTTTCATGTTTCAGTTTGAGAGTAGATTATTTTTGAAGGTTGTTGCAATCAGGATGGCATCAGAAAAGAACAATATGTCATTTTTTGACAGCTACTTTAGAATGTACTTCTGCTTATATAATAACCCACAAAAGTAGTTTATTTTCTTTTCAATAAGAGTTACCTGTACTCCAACAATAAACTGTTTTATTTCTGGCTTATAAACTGTTTTACTGACAAATCTCTAATGGTTGACATTTTTAAATTTTTAAATTTGTTGTTAATATTGATGGCAGCAGTGGCCTATCTGGAGCAACTGCTGTAAAGATGCCAGCTGCAGTGGGGCAGGCGCGGCCAGGGCTGCATGCTCCACTGAGCCGGCAGGAGCCAGAAACAGGCAGAAACCCAGGCCCCTTCGAGTTGGAGAGGCAGGAGCCCTCCCAGGCGCTGCTGCAGCGGCCCAGCCGCAGCTGTGGACCCAGGCATTCCTTCGCTCTCGTCGGCCTAGGGAGCCCTCTTCCCCTGCAGGCTCAGAAAGGCCTGTTCCCGCTGCCTGGCCTCTCCCTACTCCCAGCGCCCACTGTGATTTCGGAGCAAAGTTGAGGCCAAGCCTGGGAACTGTTGCAGGTGTGCCCACTCTTGGGGCAGTGCTGACACCCCAGCCCTCTGCCACCTCGGCGTCCTCCAGACTTTGGACACTGACAAGCACGGGAGGGAGACCAGTCAAAGTGGGGGATGAGGGCAGCTTGGTGCAGGCCTGCAGGTGCCCTTTGGCACTCCAGCCCAGGCGCTGGGTTACAGCTGGTTGATGGTGTCAGGAGGCAGGCAGGTTCCTGGACAGAAAGGAGTGTGTCCCCGGTGAAGCCCCACCTCAAGCCAGGGGTGGCCTGGAGCATGGGAGCTGTGCCACCAGTTTCACAGAACAGAGTGAGAACTTACGGTACTTTTTTCCCCCGGCCTACCTATTGTCACCTATGTACTTCCTCCCCACTGAAGCCCACAAAAACCTCGGGCTCTGGCAGACGTCTGGACTTCAGAGAGGAGCTACCAACTGTGGGTCTCCTCTCAGTCAGGAGCTGAGCAGACATTGGGATGGCCTGCCTGCAGATAGGAGCTACCCACTCTGGATCTCCTGAGAGCTGTACTGCCGCTCAATAAAGCACCTCTTTGCCTTACTCATGCTCCAGTTGTCTCTGTACCTCATTCTTCCTGGACACAGGACAAGAACTTGGGACCTGCTTAATGGTGGGACTGAAAGAGCCGTAACACAAACAGGGCTGAAACACGCCCCTCACTTACCACATTGCAACAAGACGAGAAGTGGGAAGGAGAGAAGAGCTGCAGCCCTTTGGGGAGCCCAGACCTAGGAGCTCCCTGAGCAAGGGCTCTGACACCTGTTTGGGGCTCTGCAGTTCCTGGCATCTCCAGGCTTCCGGGCACTACTGCATTCCCCGGTGCCAGCAGTGGAAGCAACTTTCAGTATGCCTGTCGGTTCACAGCCTCACAGGGAGCCTGGAGCCAGCGCCTGGAGCTGCCTACCCCACTACAGCCTGTGTGCCCGGCTGTGCGCAGTGGTTGAACCCCGCACTCACTCACTTGCTCACGCACCCCTTGCTGCTCTGCACTTGGCTTGCCCTCGGCAGGTGTGGGATCCCGGCTGGTAGAGCATAAGCCGAGTACAGTCTGTGAGGCCGAGTGGGTGGAAAAAGCCCAGTGGGCCTGAGCATAACTCGGACAAAGGCGCCACTGGCCACAAAGGTTTCCAGCTGACAAAGCGACACCCCAAGGATCCTGTGACAACATCACCATGCAAAAGACTAGATTGAGTACTGGTACAGCAAGTATAAGTACTGAGCATTTCTATCCAATATTCAGTAGATACGTTTATTAAAACTTTATGGCTTTCACGACTCCCTACTCACATTCTATATGAATAATAAAAAATAATAATTTCCAATCCCGTTTTTCATGAGAATAGTGTGGCATGATGTAAAAAGCCCTGGCTTTGGAGTAAGAAATAACTGGATTCAAATTATGGTCCTCTTAGACTGTGTGACTTGAGGGCTAGGTACATGAGCTCTCTAAACTTCAGTTTACTCAGCTATAAAGTAGGTTATAAAATACAACATAAGGGCTTTGTAGGGATTAGGTGAGCAAAATCATTTGTATTACATTCTTGTTATTTATGTTGTAACTGCTAGAGAAGGAGATTTTTAAAAAAATAGGTTACTATCTGAAAGAAACTTACGGTTTGTGTTTTTCTTGATTCAAAGTTTCATATTGATTAAAAGGCAAACATTTTGATCTTGGGAAGCTCATGGCTAGCTGTGTAATTTCCCAACTAGTCATTGTTATCTTCCAGCTTCCCTTAACTGACACTAAATGTATTTTTTCTATCAATTTCAGTTCCTTCCTACTGTCCTCACAACTGTTAAATAGATGACTTTTCCAATACCCTAGCCTCGTACTTCCTTGAGCCCTACATAAATATTGACCTTCATCTCAACTCTACTTAATTTAGCCATACTGATTTTCATACACTATCTTGTTAGCCACCAAAATTCTGCCACTGAAAAGTTCTGTTCTACCTCCAAATCACCATTCTCCAGTCTTCCATCTTGCTTGTACAACTATTACACTTTGACTTAATCTGTCATATCTTATCAGGACCTCTAATTCTTTGTCCCTTCTGCTTTATCCTATCTGTCAACCTGTGTTTCCTTCCTTTTCCTTCCTATATAACTGAGACTTCAAAGTTCTTCATTTCAACGATTCTTTTGCTCATATCCCAAACCGCACTTTTATTTTGATTATCCACAATATATCTTTTACTTAAAATATTTTGTGGGACATTTATTAACCTTCCAAAACCTCAGTTTTCTAGTGGATAATATATGAGTAATTACACCTATCTCATTGGCTTCTGGTAAGGAATACATAAATTATATACAAACTGCTTAGCCTATCCTTTGACCCATGCTGAGAAGGGTGGTGTGATATCGAGATAGACCATATTTGCACCTACACTGGTGTATCCCGCACTTCAAGACAATCAAGCCAGGCAGGTTTATATAGTGTACACTTTGGGTCCCCAACTTCTCAGATGGGTCCTTAAGATTGTCAGATAGTCCATCTTTAAGAAAGAACATGGATAAATCACACATTTGAAGTAACTGAAATGCATGTTTAAATTTTAGAAATCTCCGAGAAGCAAGGGATAATGCTGTGACTGAAAAGGAACGAGCAGTGATGGCTGAAAAGGATGCTTTAGAAAAACATGATCAGCTCTTAGACAGGTAAGCATCATGAAAATAGAAATGTTAAAACTCGAACCATTATTGTTTCTGTTATATATTCATTTAGAAAATGTATTTTAAAGAGAGTAATTTTCATTTCAGTTGAGGTATAACTTATATGCTTTATTTTTTCAATATGCAATTGTTGTATATGTTGACAATGAGGTATAGAATAGTTCCGTTACTCCAGGGAGTGTCCTTATGGCCCTTCAGTCCTTCTTAATCACTACTACTTAAGAGGCACCACTTTCTGATTTCTGTCACCACAGATTAGTTTTGCTCCTCTTAGACTAAAAATGCTCTGTGTCCAGGTTCTTTCATTCCACTTTGTTGTTGTATCAGTAGTTCATTCCTTATTATTGCTGAGTATGAATATGTTTTATTCACTTGTCCATGGTCATTTTGGTGGTTTCCAGTTTGTTACTATCATGCATAAAGCTGCCATATAATTTTTTGAAAGTGTGTTTTTATTTATCTTGGCTAAATACCTAGGAGTGGCATTGTTAATCATCGGGTTGATAAATGTTTTACTTTTTAAAAACCTGCCAGTGGTAACACCAAAGTGATTGTACCATTGTATAATTCCTAGTTTTTTTGTTTGTTTGTTTGTTTGTTTGTTTTTTCAAAATCTGTATGTTCTAAAGTATGTGTGTTGGAAGGAGAGTATCAGAGAGAATGATATATCTTTAATTTACCAATAGAAAATGATATTTATTTTTAGTAGCCTTGTTAAGAGTAAAATAACTGATAGGCATTATGGTAAATATCATTACTTCATTAAACATTCTACACTTTCAATTGTTTGACTATATAGAGCGTAAACAGTGGCTACCTTATTTTTTTAACTTTTCATTTTGAAATCATTTCAGAAAAGTTGCTAAAATGGTGTGAAAGTTTCTGCATACCCTTCACATACTAATAAACTTTTGAAATTAAGTTCAATGGGTCTTTTAGTTGTTAAATGAAGACCAGATTAATTTGAGATATAAGCAATACATAAAACTGAAATTTGAGGCGAGTCTTAATGTAACTAACCTGTTGTAAAAATATTTTAGAATGACTCAAATTGTGATACTTCTGAATTCACATCAACTTTATAAACTTGGCCTATGGAAGAATTTTAATAAATGTTACATTGAAGAAGTCATTCCTATAATGTGGAAGTATGTCTTACTCTCAACATCAGTGACTCATGCCTGTAATCCCAGCACTTTTGGAAGGCTGAGGCGGGTGGATAACTTGAGGCTCGGAGTTTGAGACCAGGTTGGGCAACATGGTGAAACCCCATCTCTACGAAAAATGCAAAAATTAGCAGTGCGTGATGGTGCATGCCTGTGATCCCAGCTACTCAGGAAGCCGAGGCACGAGAATCACTTGAACCCAGGAGGCAGAGATTGCTGTGAGCGGAGATCATGCCACTGCACTCCAGCCTGGGCAACAGAGTGAGACTCTTTTCTCAAAAAATTTTTTTTTAGTTAATCTAAAAAAAAGTAAAGATCATAGTATAAAAGATCATGTTATATAAATCAGCTCCTTTCATTAGAGTTCCTATAAAGCCTTCATGTTTTATATTTCATTATGTGTAACCCTTCCACTTACAAAACTGTGTGATGTCCCCTAAAGATTCATTTGACTTTGTGTTGATGTCAGTTTTTAATGTGTAGTTTTAGGAGTGTATATTTTTAGGGATGGCTCTAGAATAAGATTTATGGGCAAACTAATAAGGTTTAAAAGAAAGCATAAGATATTACCTAGTAAATCAGAACTTATATTCTTCACTTGATAGCTACTGTGTGGTTTTGTAAAGTTGGAGAGAATAGTAAATCTGACCATAAAATTGACCAATTTATATTTATCGTAAGCTGTGTTATGTCCTACACTCTTAACCTAAATCTGTCTGATCCTACTTGTCCATACATTTGCAGCTGATATTCACCTGAAGGCCATGCAGTCCTCTAATACCTAAAAGTATCTGTTAAATAATAGAGGATTCAATTATTTAATGTTTGTAAAGCACTTAGAACAGTGCCTTCCTATGATAACTACTATTATCATAGAATAATTTGTCCAATTTAGTTTTGTTGTGAAACTTTATTGAATTTTGTTCTTCACAAGTTGATATCTTTCTAATGAATTTTCCACTAAAATTTTAGATAAACTGGAAGACCTCATTTTCAAACTGCCAGATAAGAGGAAGCTTATTTATTCATAATTCTTTGAAGTCATAGTAAAGCCTTGCTTATTTAGAGCCTAATTTTCAGCCAACCTTAAATATTTATGATAGTTTTAAAATCAAGACAAGGAAAAAAAAGTCTTTGTAGATACTACTAAAAATAACCCTTGAGCAGCAAATAGAGCTAATGCTCAGGACTGTAAAGGACTTTACAGAACCAGAGACTTATGGATAAATGAGTAAATGAATGAGAATAATATCTGGGAATGTAAAACTCAAAATAAGCTTAGGCTTTAACAAAATGCTTAAAATAGCTAAAGTTACTTATCTGTTTTTTAAGATATAATATCAATAAATGAAGGGAAAAGTATCCCTGCTTAGGATCATAATGTTGATAAATGATATTTTTAAAAGTAGAATTCTAGATGTATCATCAATTTAATTCTTTCTTAATTAATATATAAATTAAGTGTAATTCATGCCAAAATTTTCAAATGACTTTGTGAAACTTGACAGAGCAACACTAAAAATTCTTTTTCACAATTATCATGGCTATTCTTGTACATGTACTCTTCCACATAAATATTTATAACTATATTTCTTACATTATGCCTTTTCTTCATCTGAAGTTAAATTTTGGGGTAGTGTACATAGAGAACTAATTTTATTGTTCATGAAAATGTCAGTTTCCTTAAGTTAAACTATACATTTAATGTAAGCCAAATAGAACCCAAAGATATTTTTTTAAAAACCAGACAAATAAGTTTTGTAGCTTATATGGAAAAATTAAGTAAGTGCATTTCTAGATAAGAACAATAAATTGTGACAGGTCACTAGGGTAGCCAACTAGGGGAAAAAGAAAATTGAGATCCATACCTCATAACTTACACCGAGATAAATTTCATATGGATCAGAGATTTAAATGTAAAACCATTAAAAACCTAAGATGCCATAGGGGAATGTTTTTATAATCTTTAATTACAAAAGGCCTTTGTAACTTAGGAGTTATAAAAGTAATAAATTGATAAACTTGATTCCCTACAAATGGAAAATGTTGGTGTGGCATTACTGCCATAAGGAAAGTCAAAAAACAAATGCAAATGCAATCTTAGAAAAAATATTTGCAATATCTGTCACAGTTATGTCATTAAATTCATATTAAAACTATCCCTATTTTCAGCTGGGCATGGTGGCTCATGCCTGTAATCCCAGCACTTTGGGAGGCCGAGGCAGTTGAATCACCTGAGGTCCGGAGTTCAAAACCAACCTGGTCAATATGGCAAAACCCTGTCTCTACTAAAAATGCAAAATATTAGCCGGGCATGGTGGCACATACCTGTAATCCCAGCTACTTGGGAGGCTGAGACAGGAGAGTTGCTTGAACGGAACTTGGGAGGCGGAGGTTGCAGTGAGCTGAGATTGCACCATTGCACTCCAGCCTGGGCAACAAGAGTGAAACTCTGTCTCAAAAAAAAAAAAAAAAAGCCTGTTTTCCACTAAAAACCAAAAGGTTGATAATACATTGTGTTTGCGTGGGTATGGAAAAACAGGCAATCTTAACATTGTTAGTGGGATTTTAAATTGGTACAACTAATATGGAGAGTAATTCAGTAATACCTATCAAAAGTACAAATGCACATAGCTGGTGTGTGTGTGTGTGTGTGTGTGTGTATGGAATGTATGTATGTGAGGCAGAGTCTCACTCTGTTGCCCAGTCTGGAGTGCAGTGGCACAGTCTCCGCTCACTGCAGCCTCTGCCTCCCTGTTTCAAGCGATTCTCGTGCTTCAGCCCCCTGAGTAGCTGGGATTACAGGCGCGTGCCACCACACCCGGCTAATTTGTGTATTTTTAGTAAAGACGGAGTTTTGCCATGTTGCCCAGTCTGGTCTCAAATTCATGACCTCAAGTGATCTGCCTGCCTCAGCCTCCCAAAATGCTGGGATTACAGGCTTGAGCCACTACACCCAGCCACACATTGCTCTTGATCAATAAATTTTATTTCTAATAAGTTATCCTGCAGGTATACTTGCTAGGTTCAAAATGCTATATATACCACCTTATGTACTGTAGCATAGTTGACATTTAGGCAGTAGTTAAAAGAATTGTAATTCATGAAAACATTTACAGAATACAACAGTGCAGTTGTACAAAAGGAAGTAAGTGGCTCTTTATATCAGGACCAGGAAAAATCTGTTAACATTTATTGCTTCTGGAGAAGGAAATTGGGTGTTGGGTGGTTGGTGGACAGATAGAGATTTTGTACCTCATAAATATGTATCCTCCTTTGTACCTCATACATATTGAAACTTACAATGTGTTTTTTTTCTTTTTTGTGTATTTTTAATTAAATTTAAACAAAGAGTGATTATTAAGAATTCTTACATACAAGTTTCAAATCATAGTTACCGAGAAACTTCAGAAATTAC